TCTTGGGGTGATAAAGATGTTTTGGAACTCATTGGCAGTGGGGGTTGCACAACATTGTCAATGCATTCAATGCCACTGAGCTGTTCACTTTAAAATGGTTAATTCTATCTTAGGTGAATTTTACCTCAATTTTAAAAAATGTAATAAAGCCCAAAACAGTTAAAACTCAATGTCTTTTAAGTAATTCTTGTCCTTCGTGCTTTGGTAAAGCACATTGTTTGGAAAATGCCACTAAGCACAGTTGTTTAGATACTTCTCCTTGCTGTTTCAGTTTTAAATTAATGGCTGCTATTCAACACTGGTGTCTGCCACAAGCCACCCATTAGGTCAGACTTGATTTCCAACAGAGGCAAAAGCAGGCAGTCGATTGCAGTCAGGTAAAAAAAAAGGTCTCGTTATGTTTTCATCCTGAGAAACAACAGTGAACGGTTTATTTTCTTTTTGATCAAGAGCTCCCAGACATAAAATGGTACTACCTGTAAAATATCTTTTTCCAAAGAAACTAGGCGCAGTTTATCCTGAAGTAGCTAAGGAGGTGGTCTATCAAACTCAGACTGTTGGTGGCAGTACAGTCAACAAGGAAATTACATGATTTTAAAAACAGACTTTATCTACAATATTCACGTTTTCCATTAAGAAACCACTAGCAGAACACTTGATGTAAATTGTCTGCTGAGGATCTACTTTTAAATTCCTGGAATCATATTCATGGAACAGAAATGGGAAAATAGTGACCTGATGATGCAAGTACTTCTATATTTCCAGCTTGTTTTTTGGTTTTAACCACATTCCTCCTTTCTTCTCTCCTTGAAAAACCACAAGGTATCAGAACAAATAAGCTGTTGGCCACTGGGATGTCACAGTGATAAGCACACACTTGGTAACATATTTTCCCATTTCCATTCCAAATAGACTTAGTAACATGTAATTCCCAAGGCATTAATTTTGGTTTATGCAAACATAGTTTATGAAACGTTTTGAAAACCTGTGATATACTATTGAAATTTTTCAGATTTGTCAGCCTGAAGCCTCAAAAATTAATAAAAAGAAAGAACAAATCAAATTTTCCACAGAGGTTTTTATTTAACACAGAGGTATTTATTATGTGCCAGGCACTGGTCTGGGCATTTACAAATATTAACTGATTTTTAATCCTCACCAACAACACTATGAAGTGGGTCCTATTCTTATCACCATGTTACAAACAAGGAACTTGTCCAAGGCAGACTACAGAGTTTCCTGCTCTTAACCACCATCTATGCTTTCTCTCAACAAAAGCATCATGCATAGCTATTATTGGTCATCACGGTGTCATGACCAGGGTAAAAGCTGGGGCCTCAGAAAGTATCTGTCACTCCTTCCCCAACCCTTCACCCCTTATAATGTACAACAAAACCAACAGCAGCACGTTTTAATTGCAAAGCATACTTGACCTTATTTGGTCCTCACAACACCCCACTAGGCAGGGCCGGGTCATGGGTATAATCTCTATTTCACAACCTGGCTCGGAAAGGTTGAAGAATTTGCTAGGAACCACAGTGAGTAGCAGGGCTGGGCTCCTGCCTTAGCTTTTGGATTCCCATGCTAGGGCTCCTTCCTCTACACATGGTGCTATAAACTTAGTGTAGCCCAGCAAACTTTACATGCTACAGCAGGGTCCTGCTGCTTTCTTTTTAGGAATCAACACACCTCCAGCACAGGGGAAATGCTGTTCTCTCCCTATCAGTAGTACATCTTTACACTGGTCTATCCAGTCCAGCCAGGTCTCTGTGTGACACTTTACTGGATTGGGGGTTGGGGGAGAAATAAGAACCAAACAGGGCTGGGTGGTGCCAGGACAACCTTGCCTTTCAGCGAGACAGATGAGAAGTAGGTTGGCAGGAAGAACCAGGAGCCACAGCTGCCTAATGTTCTACCTGTCCAGTGGACCCCCAAGACTGGGGTTCGTCCCTATCTCCTAAGGGTGGAATAGTAGCTAGAAACTGGACCAGGCCTCCCTGGGATGCTTCCTATATAGCAATGTCCCTCAGAGTCCAGGTCAGCCCGTCACTCTCATTTGGTCCCAATGACTTTAAGGAGGCCAGGTCAGTTTGGGATGTGTCGTGACATATCTTTCCCTCCAAGAAGATAGCTACTGGTCGTATGGGAGAAAGACCAAACTGAGCTTCTAGCAGAGTCTAACAGAAATTCTCACTCAGAAAAAAATGTAAGACTAACCTAGTACTAGGATGACATTAAAAACTTAACAACAGGTACAGCATGGGTACTTAAGCAGTCAGGAAGGCCCAAGCGAACTAGAGGCTACCTGCTCCACCAGACCCTACTCCTTTAATACCTGGATCAAGGGCAGGTGGGAAGGGGCAGACTGTGGAGGCCATGGGGCTTGGGGTGTCATTACTAACCACAGCCTAGGATCCTCGGGACCAGGGATATTAAACAATACAATAACATTTTAAATATAGAATATTTTTTAAAAACCTAATGAATTAAATGTGCATTTTCTCCTGTACATTCAATAATAACTAAGATATTTTAAAAAGCAGTGAAGAAACTCCACCCTGGAGGAGAATTAGAGGTAAATTACAATAATCAATACATCAACCCATCAAAATGATTTGTTAAATGTCTATTAATATAGCAACCACTACTCCTTGAACAGTAACAATTAGTCCTTAATAGTAACAGCAGCTTCACACCATTAATCTCACTTAATTCTCACCAGAACTTTATGAAATTATTATTATTCTCACTTTACAGATGAGAGCACTGAGACAGAGATTTGGTTATTTCCTCAAGGTCACACAAAGGTTAAAGAAGCACAGCAGGCCCTAAACCCTGGTGTGGGTTCTGAACCCCTGTGATCTCCTGCCTCCCTAGACACAGTGAAGCATCCCAGTTCTAGCAGGAGTGGCCAGAGACCCTTCGGGAAGAGGAAGTATTTAATGGAGTTTAGAGCAATGCCCTGGGTCCAGAAACGGTTCAGAGAGGGTTCTACAGCGAGTCAGATCTAGACTGCATGGTCCAAGAAGGGGAAGAATGGAGCACGGCAGGGCTGGAAAGCGGGTCCGGATGACAGAGGACTTCATTTTTAGCCAACTAAAGGTTTGAAGCAGGTGGCTGGAGCAAAGCTACATTTTAAGGAACATCGATCTGGCAGGAAAATGTAGATGAAATGGAGAAGCTAGAGTCATGTAAAGTGAGTGAAGACTTGAGGTCACGAAGAGCCAGAGGAGGAGGAGGAAGCCAGTGAGAAAGGACAAAGGTGATGCCAACTAAGGACACTGAGAGGAGAAAGCCTCCAAACCAAGTAAATGCAGGTCCCATTCTAGAGTCATGGAGGCAGCAGCGGATGGTCTGTTCATTGAGTGGCCCAGGAGCGCTGCTGATGACCGCCACCCTCTCCCGCTCTCCTCCTCCTCAGGGGACACACAACCCGGGGAACAGCTGATAAGGACAATCAGAGGCATGAAATGCAGTCCTCCCTCAGAGCATGGGCTAAAGACAACTTCTGGGCCTCAGACTTCCCTACCTGTCTTATCTTCCCTGCTCCCCATCCCCAAATTCTCATGCTGAAGTCCTGTCCCCCAGTATCTCAGAATGTGACTGCAATTAGAGAAAGGGCCTTTAAGAGGTAATTACGTTAAAATGCGGGCTTTAGGGTGGGCCCTAATCCAATATGGCTAGTGTCCTTATAAGAAGAGATTAGAACACAGACATACAGAGGAAAGGGAGAGAAGACGGCCATCTACAAGCCAAGGAGAGAGGCCTTAGAAGAAACCAACCCTGCCGACACCTTGATCTCAGACTTCCAGCCTCCAGAATTCTGAGACAATAAATTTGTTGGTTAAGCCACCAAATCTGCGGCACTTTGTTACAGCATCCCCAGCAAATGAACACACTGCCCACTCCCCACCTCCCAACACAGGAGAGTTGTCAGTGGAAGTGCTTGGTGAGAAGAATAAAAAACTGAACCAATCCCTTTCTTGTTTCAGAAACATTTTGTTTATATGGTCTTGGGACCTCATCTGAGTAGACACACACCCCCTAGCAGCTGTATTAGTCGCTACCATTTACTGGCGCTCACCACGTGGTGGGCCTTGGTCATTCCTCCCACGCTCACGGCACGGCTCTGCTGTGCAATGGTTAATACTATTCCCATTTTCAAATGAGGAACTGATGACCAAGAGGTTAAATAGAGTCACACAGTGAGTAAATCACAGGTTGCAGGTGGGCCCTGGCCTGAAGACAGCTAATCGATGCCCAGTGACACTTGTTCTGTGCTACCTTCTGAGGAGCCACTGGCCCTGGGGATGGCAGAGGGCAGGGCAAACCAGATGAAGCTGGCACAGAGAGAAGGCTCCAGTGTCTGGTGTGTAAGAGAGAAAGTCAGCCAGAACAGGTTTCCCTTCTTGGTTTCTTTCTCTTTTGCCTCCTAACTCAGGACTCCCTGCTTTACTACCTAATCACTCCTGTATCAACACATTCCAATCACTTCCAATCTTCCCCAGAGCAAAATCCAAATGACAGCCCTGGGGCCCAACATGATCTGCCCTTCCTCCCCGCCCCCACTCTCTGAGCTCGTCTCTCCCACCCTCTCCCTTGCTCTCGACCTTCTGAGCTGTGCTGTCCTCCCTGCTGTTTCTAGAATCCACCAAGGAGAATCAGGGAAGGTTAGCGTGAGATTTACATGGAGGATGACTAAGAGATCTCCGTGCTTTATATAAAGGTCACTTGGTGATTTGAAAGCAGGTGGTGTCACCATGTGAGGAAAAGCCACACAAGATGGACTATGTGACCTTGAGATGGGGAGGGCGCGCACATCCACCTGGGGACGTAACTTGCACACCTCTGGCCTGCAGTGGGAAGTGACCGCACATTCATTCCTGTGAACTGCCTGTGTCTAGCAAAGTAAAGGCAGACCACTTAGCCCACAGCAAGTGTCTAAATGGAATCACAATAGGTTTTTATGTCAATTTTAAAGTCAACAACTGAATACTTACAGTTCTGGGTTCAAACGTATACAGAGCTCTGAAGACTTTAACTTGCCCTGAAAGAGAGGAAAAAACAGCATCTGATCAATTCATCCTATACTGAATTTGCTCTAAATAACATTATCCATTATGTCCTTCAGAATCCCTAATTAAAAG